CAAGGAATGAAGCAGTTGAACTGTCGTCTGATCACAATATCTGAAGTGAATGAAAAATTTTTAGAGATTTATACTACTACCATTAGAAGTTTGGAAGACAATGGTGATGACACTGATACGATAATGATAATAAATATATAATAATAACAAATCAAAACAAATAAACAGCATCATCAGGCATATTCGTATCAGATAAAAAAAAATATTTTCACTTGAATTAAAAACCTATTTCGAGAGAGATTCTTCAATTGGTATAATATCTTTGGAAAATCTAAAATATGCCTTTGTTTAAGTATATCTATCTGACTATTTATAACAAAAACAGGATAGATAGCATTTTTCGTTAGCTTTACCTTGTATACTTTGTTTCATTGTATTGACAACAAAATGGAGGAGTAACACTACTATCGTCCTCTGTATATATATTAACTACACTACTTCATCGCTCTTACTAGTCACCATGAGTGTCGGCAGGGTCGCCGAGAGTCATCACAGAAGTAAAAAGACCATTCATCATATGATCTCGTCACTTCGTTACTTCGTTACCTTGTTATTTCATCAATTTGTTACTTCGGATGTGAGTGGCAGGCGAGGGTGCCAGATGCTGATAGTTAGTGAGACGTTGGTGTTGTGACTACAGATATAGTAGCTAGGTTAACAGATAACAAAGTGATGAAAAAACGAGCTATCAAGGTGACGAAATAACAAGCTAAGGTGATGAGAAATCGATGCTGGAAAATGGACAATGGTTTTGATGTTTTTCATGTGATGAGGAGCCTTGGAGACTCTGTCGTCAGTCATTGCAGACACTCATCGTTCTAGTTGTGACAATATCATCTAGAGCACAACATTATATATCAGAACCATGAAAAAGAGTGCACTAACAGAACAATAGACCAAAGTTACAGACCAGGGATGAGCGAGCCAGCCAAAAAGTCACACCGCCACCGCCCCGTCCCGTCCCGTTGATAAAGTTTCGCACCGTCACCGTTCCGCCTATTCAACAATAAAACCGTCACCGCCCCGCCCCGCCCCGTCTAAAGTCTGTCCTCAGAAGTCATTTATTCATGAAATTTTTCAGTAACTTTTCATAATTACTATAATATTTCCTGAGATAAAAAGGCATAATTTAAATACAGGGTGACTTACATATAATGACATGACAATAAGAAATTTAAATGGCTCTACTTCTGTTCATGCAAATGGGCTCATTTTTTGGTTGGTAATAGAACTCTCCTCGGTTTTTTTCCGTTTGAATAATGTAAGTAAATCAAACTGTTAAGTATTTCAGTTGACGTCAACAAAGCAACTTCACTAGTTATCAAGTAAAAAACCACATATGAAATATTGTGTAGATGATTTTTAGTTATCATTTGACAGAATGACTTGAAAAAATTCAAACAAATCTTCTAAACAATGCTACATTGATGTACATATAGAAAACTTTCTGGACTAGCTACTTTGAATACTGGAACTAGTGCTTGATAACTAAAACGCGTATCTGAAAGCCTTTAGTTACCCAGTTGGCAAGTTTTCAACAAAAATCAGTGTTCCACGTCTGAAACTTCGAAACATTGTAATTGCTAACTTTCAAATTGACTGGTTGAGAAATTTCTCTCAATGTCATCCATATAGTATCATTCAGCAGATTTATTTGAATTTTTTCAAGTCATTCTGTCAAACGACAACTAAAAGTCATCTACACAATATTTCATATGTATTTTTTTACTTGACAACTAGTAAAGTTGCTTTGTTGACGTCAATTGAAACACTTAACAGTTGGATTTATTTACATTATCCGAATGAAAAAAATCGAATCCTTTTGAATGACCAGAAGTAGAAATATTTAAACTTCTTGTCGTTATGCTATTATTTATAGGCCACCCTGTATATAAAGATTAAATTTCGAAATAGAAAAAAAATAAACATTTAAGAAAAATGTTAAAAAAAACTCAATATTGTCAAGGGGCGGGGAAACCGCAAGATCTTGCGACGCACCGTCACCGCCCCGTCAAGTTTCTGCACCGCCCCGCCGGGGGCGGTACGGTGTGAAACCGCGGCTCGCTCATCTCTGGAGCAGATATTATTCATTCAGCTATACTTCGACCAGGTAAGAAAATGAAAAATTATTTGTTTTATTTATAAAATTACGATTTTTTTTTGTTTTTTATTTAGGTCGTCTTAATCATTTAATTTATATTAAATTACCTAATGATCAATCTCGTGTGGATATAATTATGGGTGTATTAAGACAATTACCCAGGTGGATCATTCCGGCCGTCGGAAACGGCGTCGTATCCGGCCTGAAACGACTATAAAACAGTGAATTACTGCAGTAATTTTGGCCTTATTTCGCCGTAATCCGTCATACCGTATTACGACCACCGTCTATCGCTAGAAAACGGCGGTGGTTTTTTTCCGGTTTTGCTTCCGTAATCTGGTATGACGGATTACGGTGCCGTTTATCGATGTTTTACATCGTTAATCGCCGTTTTATAGCCGTTTCAGGCCGTTTTATTGGACCTGGGTAGCAGCAGTAAATTATATTGATTCAATTTTGTTAGCAAGTGAAACAACAGGTTTTAGTGGCGCCATGTTAACAGAATTTTGTCAACATGCATACAAATTTGCTAAACGAGAATCAATTAAAAAAAAACAACGACGTATTAGACAAACAACAACGGGCAATGATAAACCAACTCCTGTACTTGAAATGCGTCGTAATCATTTTACAAAAGCTAGTGATTTGGCACGACGTTCAGTAAATGCCAGTGATATACCTCAATATGAAATATTTGCTAAAACATTACCAAAACATTTTCAAGGTGTTTCAACAGAATAATGGGCATTTTTTTTTTGTTATTTTTTTTTTGTATTTTTCAAATAAATATTAAAAAAAAAACTTCATTATCTACTAAAGAACTATGATTGTACAATGAATTGATAGCCATAATAATAGTTATATCAAGATCACGAATATAAAGAGAATCAAGTGCTAATCGATCAAATCGTCGGTTGACATCCACAACAGCATATATTAAGAACATCACCCGTATTGAGGTTATGAAAAATGATACATAAAATTTCATCCGGTATATTGAGTATATTGAGATAATTGTTATTTAAATTGTTCATGTCTAATTCAT